TTTTAACCGTTCGGTCTCACTAAGATTAGTCTGTTCGTTAGGGGCAAGAGAGCTAACATTAATAGCTTCGCTTGCACCATGGGTGGCTTCTTGGTTACTATGTTCAGAACCAGTTGTATAAATAACTGGTTCCAACGCATTGCTAACATTAAGATTTGTAAATTTATTTGACCCAATGGGGCTATCATTTGTTGCTTTGTTGCCATCGCAAATGTTTTCATGATTACCATATTCAAATACCTCACTCGCTGTATTCAAAGTTATATCGCAATGGACGGCATTATGTTTATCCATAAAGTTCTGAAATTGCGACATCACAGATGTTATGTGAGTGATCGTTCCTGATAAAGCCTGAATCGCTTCTGAATTCACCAACTTCTGAATTCACCAACCAGTTGGAGGTTTCCGAGAGTATCACAAACAGCAGCCGATTGCATGCTTGGCTGCCGATCGACTGATATAGGTGCTTCGAAAGAACACATCAGCTTGCACAGACTTTGCATAATCTCGTTCGCTCTAGCTCCGTCAAGACATAAAACATTCTTATTCTTTTTCCATAATATAGTAGAATCACCAAGAGTAAAGAGTATTCTGTCCCCACCAGGCTGTGACCATGTTCCTTCAAGATTTAGGTCGTCATTTACGAACTGTTTCAACGAATATCAAACCATGATATATCGTAGGGCGCCAAGATGGCCGCCACTGATAGGTGTTTGTGTCTTTTGTACTTCATAACTTTAATTCACTTATACAACCTATACTTCTTAAACCACAAATCCTATACTAAAGTCGGTAAGGTCTTCTTGGATAAAAATTTCTTCCACAAAGTGCGACATTCAAGACAATTTTCACGCGAAGGTTTAGTACGAAAGTCAATAGCGGTATGGACGAAGCACGGTTATCTGCTTATATCACCCAGAGAATATTCGATCTGCCTGGATATTTGTATTTGTATGGACGTTGAATCTAATCCGGGCCCATATAACGAGAACAATCCAGGAGCAGAATGGAATAGCGAGGTAGTTTGTATACAGAAGTCTATCAAATATACTAGAAGGAATTTGTTTGACCTTAGATCCATTGCATCGAAACCGGACAGTGTGGTTATTGATCACTTAAAGGCACTTAGACTATTTAGATATCGTGGATCACGAGCAGGAAAGAGGCGCCATGAAATATCGAATAGAGGGCAACCAATTACCGTACTTAATCGTGTGGGTAGCAGAAAAACATGTCGTCCTTTAAAAGGAATATGTAGAGAGAATCTGATTCCTATTGCCAGGAATGCGTTGTCTAATAAACGTAGTTCAACCTCAGATTTTGCTGTGCCTAAATTCCTTTTGACGAATATTTGTAGCCTTGTAAAAACTAAAAATCGCGTTAGAGCGGCTGTCGCCTTGGAGTCGGACATGAACGGGAATGATGTTGACATATGCATTGTATCGGAAACACATCTCAAAGCAAACATTCCGGACAGTTTGGTTTGTATACCTAATTATAACATTTTTAGACGGGACAGAGATTATTCTGGCAGGGACTTGAGAGCCAAGGGGGGAATTGCTATATACGTGAGAGAGAACCTGGATGTTGTGGATATCTACAAGTCGGAACTTTATGAGTTAATATGTTTAACTTTGAGATTGCCTTCAGGGCATATGCTCCTTGTGTGCGGTGTCTACCATCCACCGAGACCAAGATACCCATCCAATGAACTGATGCAATACTTAATTAACATAGCAGACAATGCCCTTGAAAAACAACCTGGCATGGCTATTGTTATTGGAGGAGATGTTAATCAATTAAAAATAAGTGAGCTGTGTCTAATGACTGGATGGGAAGCCCTTGTAGATTTCGTAACTAGAGGTGAGGCAATTTTAGACAATGTGCTTACAAATCGATCGGATCTGTTTGGTAAATGCGTCCCGTATAACATCTCAATTAAAACTGATCATACGGCTGTCATTCTCCCCGCAGGAGTTAAACTGAAACCGGTTCGGAAACGTGTCCGTATTCGGGACTGCAGAAAACATCGAAAAAACGATTTTTATCGAGCGCTGGCTGAAGAAAATTGGGATAATATCTTAAATGCACCTACTGTTCAGTTGGCAGTGAATGAGTTAGAAAGGACGATTCACATGAATATGGACAAGTGTATGCCATTTAGAACGGTTCGCATGTCATCGCGTGACCCAGTATGGATGACGCCATTAATAAAATCTTTAATGAGAATAAAGTCGAGAATACCATCTAGGAATGTAGACCGAATTGGTGAAATCAATAGGAGAATATTGGAAATTATCAGCCAAAATAGAAGATCACTTTTGCGTGCTCCCATCGGATCAGGCGAATGGTGGAAAAATGTGGATTATATCTCACAACGTCGACGGACATCAGCTAATGTAAATCTCGATAGAAACTCACTTATGGAACTGAACGATTACTTTGCTAATCTGTGCCAAGACACCTCATATGTGGAGCCGACTCCTATGGAAATTTGTGAGGATGTGAATGCTCCTGAGATCTCGGAAATACAAGTGTGGAATAATCTAAGGCATTTGAAGAAATCAGCTACTGGTCCAGACTTAATACCATATTGGGTATGGAAGGAACACGCGGAAATAATGACACCTATTATCCATAAAATCTGGAATTTATCCTTAAGATCTAGTACTTGGCCTTCATCGTGGAAAAGAGCAAACGTTAATCCATTACCCAAAGTTGATATGCCAAAAGACAAAACCGAATATCGAGGGATCAACATAACACCAGTGATCGCACGCGCTTTCGAGAAATCTGTGTATAACACACATACTCGTGTATTGTTGAACAATCTATAAGTTCTAGTCAGTTTGCATATCGGAAAGGAGGAAGCTGTGAAGATGCACTGTTGAGTATGCAACATGAGATTTATAGGTATTTGGATAATCCAAACTGTAAAGCTGTTAGATTTTTCACGATGGACTTTAGCAAAGCATTCGACAGTGTAAGACACGAACTCTTGTCCTGTAAACTCAAACGTTTACCGTTAAATCCATACATTCTTAATTGGTATTTAAGTTTTCTGAAAAATCGACAACAACGAGTGGTTTATAATAATTTTCAAGGAGAATGGAAATTTGTGAACAAGGGTACAATACAGGGAAGCGTGAGCGGACCGTATCTGTACAATGTTTTTATGAACGATTTGGAATTAGATTTGGATGGCAGACCCGCTCTCTTCAAGTATGCGGACGACTCCAACACGATTGTTCCAATGTGGAAAAATAAAGAATGTCGAACTGATTTGGTGGGACAATTTTTAATCTGGTCTCAGGATAACGATATGAAGTGCAATCCAGAAAAATGCAAAGAACTGATTTTCCGAAAGAAAGGATTTAATCAAATCGTTTCACCTGTTTATAATATTCCGCAATGCACAGATCTTTCCGTACTAGGAATGACATTTCAAGAAAATTGTAAATATAGTTTACATATAAAAGCTAAATTGTTCAAAGCAAATAGATGCTTGTATGTAATAAGATCTTTGCGTAAAGAAGGTGCCAGTCAGGAAGAAGTAAACAAGCTTTTCAATAGTTTGGTTTTACCTGTTCTTAACTATGGTCTTTCAGTTTATGGTGCGTCAGATTCTGACCTGTCTGTAGTGCAAGCTTTTTTAGATAGATGTTTTAAAAGACACTATGTCTCCTATTATATTAACATACGCGAACTTTTAGAAATTAATGATAAAAAACTTTATAACAAATGTATTTCAGATATTGAACATCCTTTAAATAATTAAGATTTTACCTCAGAAGAAGACAACTAATTACCGCCTTAGAAAGCAGAATAGAATTTATCCTAAGATTAACACAAATAGATTTAAAAACACCTTTGTAAATAGACTTATTTTTAAATATAACTTATAGAATAATAATTATTGTAACTTAAGATATGTACCTTTTATCTTAAGACGATTAAAAGATTGATAGATTGATTGATTGATTGATTGATTGATTGATTGATTGATTGATTCGTAGTCGCCAGACCATGCAAAACATAACTTTTCAAATAGTTTTGATGCCATAAGCGTTAACTATAATGTTAAAAATCTCGATTTGGTATTTTGGTAATAAGAGACCATATATCAAACAAAATCGTTTGATAGATTACGAAAGTACTAAAACGTTTAAAAAAATTGACAGAGTTTAAAATTTGGCGACCGCCATGTCAATCTCCATATAAGGTGGCTCCCTACCGTTAGTACAGTTTAAATACGATTTATATAGATCAGACTTCATCCTCGCGACCTGCGAGTGGAATCGTCGTGTTTACTGTTCGGCAAAAATATTGAAACAAGCCGTGGGGGCTATTAGTAAAACCAGGAACAACGGAACACCGGAACATGGAACACCGGAACAGCATCATTCCGGAACACCGGAACACTAAAAATTTAATTTTCTTAGAGTTATCCTCGTTGGGATTTTATAGTATGGAGATTGGGCACTTTAAAAACTTCGTGAAAGATCTTAAGCTATATCTCGAAAAATGTGCAGACATGTATTAGAAGCTCCTATTATATATTCAACAGAAGAGATAAGGGATGGGCAGCTCCGGAACTTTTGCTATTTGTGTAAAGTAAATAATATTATTTCACATGTCCTGTAGTTAGGAAATACAGGTGGAACTACCCAAGATTCAATAATAAAAAGAAACGTGTCTGTGCGTGTGTATAAAGATATATGCAGGGGGCGTAGCCAGCCCCAAACGAGTAGCAACCTCGTACCCAGGCTCTCTTCTCTACGCTCCTCGCTGTAGATGTTCTAATCGTTCGGCAATCTCGTACCCAGAGCAATGCCTGTGCGCGGGCTAGGATGGCATTGGCACTGGGGAAATTGAATTTTTCCTGTGCTGCGATTGATTTAACGTTTGTCAATCGTGCATGCCGACAAAGAACCGGAACCCCTAAATTTAAGGGTTCCGGTTGTTAATTTCCCCAGAGCCAATGCTTTCATAGCCCGCGCACAGGCATTGCTCTGGGTACGAGATTGATTGTTCGGCCGTCCGGAGCCATAGTCCCCCGGAATGATTTTCTATTTCTAGGGTCTGCGAAACGCTAGCTATTGTTATGGATTTATACACGTTTTATAAACATCTGAAAGCCACAGATTTGGCATATTTTATGTCATATCCAGTTTCTTCTCAGTTTTGAAAGAATTACAAATTTGCTCCTGAAGAAAAGTAGAGGAGGTCCAGAACCCCCGGTAACTCGAACAATTTTTCGTTCCCCTTGGGTGTTCGATGTAGCGGGGTTCTTCTGTATAGATAATATGGCAGCAAAAAGAAGAAAGGCTAATATCTCAAACGTGATTTAACGAAATTAAATGAAATTTGGTACAGTTAGTAAGTGCACCTAAACAAACATTCTGGAACGTTTAGATGGTTGCCATAGGAACACAGCGGGAGGGCGTGCGAAGGTAAGAGCCTGGGTACGATATTGAGAAACACACTACTTTACAATCTCGTTCCCCGAGCCTGCGATCCTCGAGAAGGAACGCGAGGCTTTGGGATAATCCGTTGCCGGAAGCCAGGAATTCTGGCTAAGATTGAACTACGCATCCATTTCAATGGCCAATCAGATTCCTCCCTGAAACGGATTATCCCAGAGCCTCGCGTTCCTTCCCGAGGATCGCAGGCTCGAGGAACGAGATTGACTATTTTAATACTAGATCTCTCTGACCTATTTGTTTAATTCTTTGCTTCCAACAAAAAACCCAGGAATTTTTGTGATTTCCATTGTTGAGTATCGTTTTAATAGGTACCTTGGTCAATATAAACTATTGAAGTAAATAAAACTTTCGTTCCAAAGTCATGCCAAAGTGTCGACTGCAGACATTACTAAAATAAGAAGAGAGAGATCTGGTAACTAGTGTGTTGTTTGGACACCACATAAACGTTCCGAAATGATTACTTACGTGCACTCACTGACTGATTGTACCAAAATTAATTTAATTTTGTTGAATTATTTCTGAGAGAACTAGTGTCGTCATAACAAAAAGATACAAAATGCCCGATAACTTGAGAACAAAATGAACTGTGATCAAGATACTTTTAAGTGATGCATAGAAAATGAGAAAATTTCGTGTCATGCATGTGCACTCTAAATAACGTGAAAACTGGCAATATAACGCGTACAACTATTGGCGTCATATTATTCAATACCATGTGAAAAGGCACTGTTTACAGTATATACCACATGTGGTTAGTTGCGAAAATTCCCACTAACCAGGAATTCGATCAGTCGACGCCGGCTATGCCTGAATGAACTCGCTCATTACGTTGTATCTAACAACAAGCAACCTTGAGACAGTGAGTCTGTTATTTCATAACCTGACAATTTTAACGCGTTTAAACATGATCTGGACAATTGTTAGGCATCTTAGCCGTTTATTACAAAATCAGGACAGTGAACCTGGTCGTCAAACATCGCAAGATGATATTGAAAGGGAGCTGATACCAGAGAAAAGAAGGTCATGGCTAGCCCCAACTTTGTTCTTTGTTAATGCTATATTAATTATCGTTTATGGCTGCGTTGAAAATACAGAAGTTCTCATTAACATTGGCTTCGCATTGTTGGGCGTTGTACTAGCACCTATTTTTCGTTGTTTGTGCAATTTTGCTGAAGAGTTATTTCAGTTTCAAAGTCGATACAACAGAAATATTTTAAACTTGTTTAAACAAAGTTTCAGTGGAATCTCATGGAAGCCAGTCATTGCTGTTGTTTTGCTCGATGTGATACCATGTGCATTGGTGAAAAAGTCTTCATTTGGACTTGAAGACGCAATTTGTATCTTAAGCGGCATCGGTGTGGGTCCACTGGTAACATACTTACTTAACCTAAACGCACAATCTGATGTCGATCTTTCGAGACTTCTCGAGGGAAGGAGGCTACATCCGGCTTACACGCTTGCGTGGAACTACTACATCAATTATCTCGAAAAAGCTTTACCAGTATTCAGCAGACGTTTCTCCGATAGTAATTCGCCAGTACAAGGTCAAAGCTCAGATGAATTCTCCGATCATGATACACAGGGTCAGCCCAAAATACAGTTAAGTTCAAAAAAATTGATACTGCTTTTTTCCGACAATTACAAAAAGGAAATAGAGCTTGTTGATCTGGACAATCATATTAGCAAAATATCTGACATATACGTGGGTGGATACAAATTTCCGGTTTATGGTCTACAATACAATGGAAATGAATACAAATATGTGATACTATATGCTGAGGAGCCTTTGGAATCTATAAAAAGGATGCGTGATTTTGGAAGAAGTAAACGTGTCCATGTGAATCAAGTTAAAGACCAAGTTAAGTTGCTTTACAGAGCATTAGTATCTGAAATTCTCGTTGAAGATGATTATTGCAGAAACAAGTGTATTCCCGTATTAATGAGTGCAGCCCAAAGTTTAGAGAATGGTGGACTTGTTGAACAAATAATGTATTACGCCAGAACAGATTCATTGCGCATCTAACGCAAAGGAACACACAAAATCACATTCTTCGTCTGTGAAAACAGAGCAGCCAGAGATAAACATGGTACACCGCCTGACGATACCAAACAGGCCTTTAATAGAGTACGGTACCAAAGAGGACGCTAGTAGAATAGTCCCAGCTATGTAACACTTAGCCAGTAATTTTCACGGAGCTCTGACGGATATGTTTTCAACTGTGTATTATTCGGCAGATATTTTTGAACGATAATAAACACATTATAATAAACGCACTTCTGTATTCCCGATTACTCGATTAGGTCATAAACACAAATGGCATGTTTTATATAACTTCAAAAACATGACTTTG